AACCATTCTCCGATTCTATGATTCTGTAGGATGGCATTGTCCTTGGGGCAGATACGAGAGCGACTGAAGGAATGGTTGTTGCTGACAAAAACTGTTCGAAGATACACTTCATTTCTCCTAATATCTAGTAAGTGCTGAAGCAGTTTGTCCTGTGACGGTGCTGGTAACAGCATCGGGGTTTTGGCTGCAGCCTTTGCTAACAGTGAACGTTAAGGCATGCTTTAAAATGCTCGTTTATTAGCAAGGCTTGGGGATTTTTGGTATTTCATTTACACCTAAATAGGCGGTTTCATGCTTGTTTCAGAGTATCTTTCAGGCTCTGAAAATACTGACTGTATGAGAACTTAATTTCTTCAGTTTTACAATGAGAAAATTCCTATTTGCTGTGTAAAGCACAGTTAGGAAAAGGGAGGGGGAAGAACAGGGGAAACTACTAACTTGCTCGTAACATCTTTCAGCTGTTGCGGTGCAGGAACAGCTGCCGATACCGACATGACAACTCAGCTGATTTCCTCCAACCTGGAGCTGCATTCACTGTCCACAGGGCGACTGCCAAGAGTCGCCACAGCTAATCGAATGCTGAAGCAAATGCTTTTCAGGTAACTGAGGGGGTTTCTCATTTATTAACAGTACTGCTAGAAGTACCAGCTAAGCCCTGAGCTCTTGCGAGGGAGCATCCTTCCTCGGACTACCTAACCTCCCTAACAGGCCTTTAAGAAAGATTTAATAATTGCTCTGCTTTGCAGGCTTTTGAGCCGAGGTGGGAGAGGAATCAAGCCTGTGGGGGTCTAGAGAATCAGTGCTATAGCTGTACCATCTTGCTAGTGTTTGTGGGGCAAAAATAGAAGGACAGGAGCTTAATAAAGTCACACCCATGAAAACTGATTTGTATCTTTGTGGCAAGATGGCTGGACCAGTAATTGTCTTGTCAGTTTTACAAGCCTGCACGTCGCAATTTCATGTGACTTGACAGAATCACTACGTAGAGATGTATTTTGTTTCAGCTCATAAAGTGTGTAACCGCCTGACGCCCGCAGTGGTCAGGATTGTCAGTGCTGGGGAGAGAAAGGAGTGAAATGGTCAGAGGTTGTACTGCAGTGACCTCACTGCTTTATTAGATTGCTGATCACAGACCACGGTTGTATGGCAGTCAGCTTCCTGACTTAGGAACCCTTAGGTTGAGGCCACGCTCTCCAAACTTCTCGTGATTCCTCTACTGTCTCTTGGAGGAGTAAAAAGTGCCGTTGAAAGATGAGGAAAGAATGAAATGAGTGTATTCAGTTAAAGAGACTGTTCAAACTCTTGGAAATTCTCCAGGAAGGTGGAATAAAGCAATGAGAAGAAACTGCTTTGTGCAACCAAGTGACCTAGATAAGTGACAGTAACTCAGCTTGGCTGCTTAATGCTGTGTTGATGGGCACTTGGCCTTTTAAGCATGTCACAAAACACTAAATCAAGAAGTTAACGCAGCCAAGAACATCTCACAGGGCGAATGAGGGAATACACTTCCTCTGAAGTCTCTAAATAAAAACCTATTTGCAAATACAGGAGTTTCACTTAAGGTTCAAACTGATCCGAATTCCCTGTTGGCACAAGGGTATCATCCAGCCTGCTTGCTTGTTCCGCTTGACACGGAGCTACACCGCGTTTCAATTCAGACTTCTGCTCACAGACAGTAAGAGCAGCGGTTCTACTAGAGCCGTACGTGGTGCGAGCACGGGAAAGCCCTCAAACACATTACACTGTGTTAAGAAAAAACACAGCTTTTTGCGGACCTGGATTCACGTACAGCCATTGCTCCTAGGTATCAAGGCTACATCGGCGCCTCCCTGGTTCTAGGGGGAGTAGATGTCACTGGACCTCACCTTTACAGCATATATCCCCATGGATCAACTGACAAACTGCCTTACGTTACCATGGGTAAGTGATACTCCCTCGCTGTTGTAACGCAGCTGCCTGGTAGAAAGCGTGAACACTTAAAGTCATTGCTTAAAACGTTTTTCCTTGAATTTGTACCCATATTTGTAAGGCAGGTGCACTGTTCTGTTTTGTTTCCAACACCTGAAAAGCATGGGCTGTTAGACTGCCTCATCTAAGCTGCCAGATAACTGGTATTACCAACACTGCTGTGTGTTCCCCAGCATACCTTCAAGCAAGAGAATTGCAGGATCTCCAAAAACTTGGTGTAAAAAAATCCTTAGAAACTTGATTTGCAGATGGTCCTGACTCATGGTTCATGTAGAGTTTTACCTGGGAAACTACATTCTGCCTGAAGTTCTTACCTGGTTTCGTTAGGGAAAAGGAGTGTCCTGCTTCTCCTTTAGGACCGTTGTATTTCTTGCCAAGTAGCAGCTGTGCTTTCCTCAGGAGGGTGGTTCGTTGTAGTCAAGCAGCACCTGGTTTACTTGCTGACTATAATAACAATTGGTCTTAACTTCTGTGTGGAGCTTCTCAGCAAGTGTCGTGATTCAGGCCCAGCTGGCATCTCAGCTGCACGCACCCACTCCTCCCCCCAGTGAGATGGGGGAAGAAAGTAGAAGGAAAGGGCTTGTGGGGTGAGACGAGGACAGGGAGGGATCACTCACCTGTTATGGTCACTGGGAATGTGGTCAGTCCATCACACGTGTCTCTGTTGCTCCTTCGTCCTCGGGG